GCTGTGAATTGCTCCAGTAACAGCTGGGAGAGCATAGACGTGGGGGTGGAGGGGGGGGGGGGAGGAGAGAGGGTGGAGCTAGAGGCAGGTAGACCTGGGAGGGGTGATGGGCTGCAGGCAGGAGAAGGGTGGGGCAAGGCTCCCAGAGGATTTCAACACAGGTTGCGAGCTGCAGGAGTCGGACAGACCCAATCAGGAGGCTGCAGCAGGGCTATCCCATGGTTCCCTGCTCCCATTGCAAGGTGCTGGCATGCTGGTTCACCCCCTCGCCTCTGCCATTCTCTGCTTGCTGCTCCCCCTGGCTCCCCTCCCTGACGTGTTGGCCCCCCGCCCTGGTTTCTCTGTATCCATTCCCTCTTGACTGGCCCCAATCTCTCTGGTGGCCCCACCCCCGGTGACTAGGAGGATGGCCACGTCCATCTCTTCAGCGAGGAGCGAACAGGCTGACTGCCCCACGGGAGGGCAGCCTGTGGCCGTGCTATGGGCTTTACAGGTGGCCAGCTCCAGAACAGCCCCTCCCAGCGGGGCCGTTCAGCGCCAGGCACGTATTGGCTGATACTGCAATAGCTTTCCCTGGCCCGGCCCTGCCCCTAGCAGCTACGGGACTCAGGCAGGGGCAGGCAGGGATTAGATTGTAAAGCACAAGGAGTGGGATGGATGGATGAATGTAAAAATAGAAACAGGTTGACCTTTGGTCTGGACACAATTTCTGCAGTTTACGGGCCCCGGTAAACAGGAAGTCTGTTTACGAGGCACCCATTCATGAGCTGGCTAATGACAGCCTGGCCTTAGGAGCTTGTTTGGTTTCTCTCTCACACGCAGAGAGATGCCAAGCAGGAAGCATGCCAGGTAGGGTGACCAGATGTCCTGTTTTTATAGGGACAGTCCTGATATTTGGGGCTTTGTCTTATATAGGTGCCAATTACCCCCCACCCCCTGTCCCGATTTTTCACCCTTGCTATCTGGTCACCCTAATGCCAGGGGAGATGCTCCAGCTCTGCCGGCTTCCCCTACTCCCCCGCACCCACTCCCCGCCCACCACAGCCAAGGGGGAGTTTCCAAGGCTGGCCAGGGGCCGAGGCTTCCCTGGTGACTGAGAAGTCCAGGGTGAAGACAGAAGAGGGATGGGGCCCATATATTGGGGAAGGGGGGCACGGGATGTAGATGGAAGGGGAGGGCCAGAGGTGGAGGAGCAAGGTGGGGCAGAGCGGGGCTGGCAAGAGAGGGGCATCTCAGCGGAGGCCAAAGCCTGCCTGGGCTGTGGAGACCGAGCGTTCCCCTCTCTGGCCCAGGGGCAGTGCGTGCAGGCACTGGCTGTCTCTGCAGCGGTAGCTCTGTATGACCGGGGTGGGCGGGCTGGGGGCCGTGCTCCACCAGCCTGGGAGCGGAGCCCAGGAGGGACCACCGCCTCTCTGCGGCAACTGCCCACTCCTCTCGCGCCCGCCCACCACAGGGCCGGGCTGCGGAACACGGGAGTTGCAACCCGGTTCAGCCTGGACCTTCACCCCCATCCTTCAGCCCTTTTGCTTTTTACTCATCACTGCCCGCAAAGGCACTGGCGCCACTTCTGGGCTCTGCCCCGCTCTGCTTTGTGCTCTGTGCTGCCCCCCGGTGTGCAGAAGGCACATTACAGACCTTCTCCTGTTCCCCATGCACACGGGAGTTCTGTCTTCTCTCCAGATTGCCCTGATTTCCAACCTCCACTTTAAGTGAAGCTCTAATTTCCTAGCCCGGCTACCGGATTCCAGCCCTAACAAGGACGGGTCAATCTTTGATCCCTCTGTGCGATCCTGGGCTCCCAGGGACTAATCATTCCTGATCCTGTATGTCCCAGAGAGGTCACAAAGCAGCTATCACTTGCCCCTCCCTGACTCGCTGGGATAGGCAGGGAGGCTGGTGGAACATAAGAACGGGCATACTAGGTCAGACCAATGGTTCATCTGGCCCACTATCCTGTCTTCTGACAGTGGCCAATGCCTGGTGCATCAGAGGGAATGAACACAACATGGAGTGATCCATCCTCTATCATCCAGTCCCAGCTTCTGGCAGTCAAGAGGCTCGGGACACCCAGAGCATGGTCTTGCATCGCTGACCATCTTGACTAATAGCCATTGATGGACCTATCCTCCAGGAACTTATTTCTTTTTTTTGAACCCTGTTATACTTTTGGCCTTCACAACACCCCCTGGCAAGGAGTTCCACAGGTTGACTGTGCATTATGTGAGAAAGTACTTCCTTTTGTTTGAAGGAATTCCAGGCCAGGCATCTTCTTCTTTCTCGGGGTAGGTCCTTGGGCGAATGTTTACAGCTTTTCCTAAAACTCTCCTCTGCCTACAACGAACTTGGCATTGTTCAGGCAGCCGGTGTGCCATGGCCACTGCTTGTCCTGCTGATTATCACTGTCTCCCTCTTTTCTCGTGCTTCCCGTTCATTGCATCCACCTATTGGTGCTCATCTTATACGTCCATTGTAAGGTCTTTGGGGCAGGGACTGTCTCTTTGTTACGTGTGTGCAACACCTCGCATAGTGGGGCCCTGAGCACAACCCCTAGCTGCTACCTTAATATGCAGACTAATGACCTTACCTTTGTCTTGAAAGAAAAGCAACGCTTTGCTCTCCCCGGCCCCTCTCCTGTAGTCTGGCTGTCCCAGCGAGTTAGCACCATCCCTACCTGCTCAGCTCAGCATAGCTGAGCTGGTTCATATCCCAAGCTTGTCACCCAAATGGCAGCAGCTGCTTGCCGTGACTCCAGGTCCCAGGAGAGGTCTGGTGCAGTTGGCTGGCTGGGATTGAGGGAGGAACAGGACTACAATCCCAGAGGGCGTTAGGGTGACCAGACAGCAAGTGTGAAAAATCAGGACGGGGGTGGGGGGACATCTGGTCACCCTAGAGGGCGTGGAAGGGCAGGAGAGAAGTGCAAGGGGTGCCGCAGGTCAGGATTGAGGAGCACTTGTAAAGCTGTGTGGGGTCCCAGGCGTGGAAAAGCATGTGGGCTGCAGATTGGGCGTGGCTCGCAGGAGGTGCTTTGACAAAGCCCTAGGAGGTCCCAGGAATGGAATAGCAGAGCATGCTGCAGTTCAGGATCAAGGGGGACTGTGGGAGATATTTGGGGGTCCCAGGACTGCTGCAAGTCAGAATTAGGGTGCATTGACAGAGCAAGGTGGGGAGCCTAAGACAGAAATTGCAGGAGTAGTTGGTCAGGAATAAAGTGTGTTGGCCGAGCTGTGGGGTCCCAGAACTGGACTAGCAAAGAGTGCTGCAACTCGGGCCCAGAGGAGGTGCACTGGCAGGGGTGTGTGGGGTCCCAGGCCAGGGACAGTTGCAGGTTCTGTTGGCATGCACTGGCAGAGCCCTACCTTGGTATATGCACAGTCCCTTCCCCCATGCTACGGACATGGAGAGCGGTACCAGAATCTCCATCACACCAGCCCAGGAAACTCACCAAGAAAGTAAGACAAAGTAAAGGCTTGAATGAAACTGCGCTTCATCACCCTTGAGGTTTGTCAGCACTATCACTCCCTTTGCGGCGGTGCTAGAAAAGTTTAAGATCTCCTCCCCCAGAGTAAGGTGAATAGAAGTCACATCTATTAGATACTCCTAGCACAGCCAAGTACAGCGGAGCAGTTAGGTTTTACTGCTCTCTGGTGGCAACTGGTGGAATGACGGATCACCCATCAGAACTGCAATTCTACCAGTTCTCTCACTGGAAGATGGGAGGACGAACTGGTTGGGAATTTTCCAGTGAAACGTTTTTCACTAGAAAACGCCAATTTGTCGAAACCAAAACTTCTCCTGGGAAAGGGGCAGTTTCCATGACTTTTTCAACTCGAAGAAAAAAAAAAAAAGGAAAACATTTTCAAAGCTGTCACCGCATTTCATTTGGACATTTTTGAAACCAAAAGTTCTGGTTTGAAGCAGCTTTTCGTTTGAAACGCAAGCTAATGATAGTAAAATAAAGGTAAGAAGATGAAAAATGGTCCAAAGTGGAACAAAACATTGATTGACCTTAACCGATTGCTTTTGGAGGGAGGCGGGGGCGGTTGGGTATTTTTCCCCCCCTCCACATTTTTGGTTTACAACATTTTTCAAGATTTCAACTTTTCATCCCAATTCAGGGCGGGAAAATGTTTTGATCTCTTGAAAAATTGTCACAGGACGGGAAACCTGGTTCCCACCCAGCTGGAGTGGCTGGGTTAAGCTAATCATGGGAGGAACCTCCTGCCATGGCCCCCCCCCCATCCCCATCCCATCTCTTCCCACTTCTATTTGGTCATCCAATCCCTCCCCTCCATGACTCCAGCAGCACCTCCCTCATCTCAGCCTCCTTCCTTGTCTGTTTCCCCAGCTTCCTCCAGCCCATTCCCCTCCTCCCATGAAGAAGCGGATGGCTAATTAGCCAAGAGGACTGCCCACTGGGTCCTGGGGCATTTGTCAGATCCTCTAGAAAGGCTCTGCTCACGGATCCAAATCCCGCCTTCCTGTCACATCTGAATTTTGCAGATGGCTCCTTCTCCTTGGGATCCAAACTCTGCAGCTTGAGCCATCTTTGCCTGAGGCAGAGGCTTACTGGCCTGCACACCTAGCTAGCCTGCCCATCTAGCTAGCACGGCTTACAATAGCCATGTAGACACGGTGGCATGGGCTAGCAACCTGTGTATAAGTCTGCCAGGGAGCCTGGCTATGTACTTGGATTGCTCGCCCATGGTGCCAAACGACATTACTTTTTACTACTTGCGCCAATCATGCTTTCCTCTGCAGTGTGGTCTGGGCAATGGGAACAGTAAGGGCTATGCTGCCCTGCCTTGATAGACCTCAAAGCAATTTACAAAGGTTAGTAAGTACCATCATCCCCACTGCAGAGATGGGGGAACTGAGGCACAAAAAAAAGTCCAGCGACTCGCCCAAGTTGACAGCAAGTGAGCAGCAGAACTGGGGATAGGATCCCAGGTCTCCTGAGTCCCTGTCACTTTGCTGTGACCACTAGATCTTGCTGTCTGAGCTCTCCGACATGAAGGACTGGAGTCATCCATAGACAGTCTAGAAGAGGTCGCCGAGAGCACCAATCACTCCAGGTCATCGAATGAGTCATCGTCCTCCTCCTCCTCCTCTTCTCCAGAGAGAGGAGCATTGCCCCTGGCTGACTGCTCCATGATCTTCATCCAGCGCTGCTTCAGCTCCTCCGTCTCCGCCACAAATGTGTAGGTCTGCTTGGACTGGACCAGCTGGAAGAGGTGACGGGGGTCACTCTGGGGCGGCTCCTTCACCTGGTAGCCCAGCAGGGGGATGGAGGTGTGAGCCTTGACATCCTGGAGGGAGGGAAGGACAGACAGAGGCTCAGGCTTGTTAGTGTCAGCGTTTGCTCCCTCCCTCCAGTGGAGACAGCCAGCACCAGCTTTACGCTGCACAACTCAGACGAATTGCCAGGCTGCTGCGGCTCGAGCAGGGTCTCAATACAAATGCAATAGGAGAACCAAGCCCTCGCCTACCTGGGGTGCCGCATACATGTACAGCACCAGGGGGTCGTCCTGTGGGATCACGAACCAGCCCCGCGTTCCCCCTTTCCCGTTCTTATCCAGCAGCTGCAGGAAACTGCACATCAGGCTCTGCCCCGAGATTTCCGCTGATTCTTTCTGCCAAGAAACCAACAACCCCCCTTTATAATCCTTCCACACACTCATGGATTCAGGCTTACCCTGAGGCTTCATAGTGAGCTAATAAAAAGGCAGAGGGCAGGTTTGACCTGTGGAACTCACAGCCACATGATATCACAGAGGCAAAAAGCTTAATAGATTTCCAAAGAGAGCTAGGCATTTGTGTCTACCCACAGTACAGAGGGTAATGTTTTAGAAGGATTATAAACCCTCCTGCTTCAGGGCACAAGCCAGCCATTGCCTCAGGTCAGGAAGAAGCATCCCTCATAGGCACTTTAGTGCATAAGCAAAATTGTCCACTATAAATTTTTTTCCATCTTTCTCTGAAACATCTGGTTCTGGCCATTGTCAGAGATGGGACAGAGGGTCTGATCCAGTCTGGCAAATCCTATGTTCTCACAGTTTGTCTTTATAAAGCACCTTTTATCCTCTAGGGTCCTAAAGCACCTGGCAAACCAATGTACAGAGTCCATAGGGACTGTTTCACCCACGGCCGAAATGCACCCATCTCTGGGGTGGAAAGCAGCAGCTGTTTAACATGGCATGGCAACGTGAGAGCTTTGTACAAGTTGTGAAAAATCCCATTTTCGGTTGGAACAGGGAGGGGATCGAAAGGTTGGTGGAATGTAACAGTCCCTGCTGGAATATGGCCTGGATGCTGGGTCTAACATCCCACCTGTTAAACACTGCTTGAGAGTTTTAATGACCATGATCAAGCAGCACCTTGGATTGATGTTTTTCATCCAAATTCTGGAACCTGGACATCTCAGCGCCCCCTAGTGCCTCACTGGTGCACTACATTCAGTATTGACTAGGAGAGTAGAGTGCCACCTAGTGAAGCAGCAGCCCATTACTGGACACTCCCATCCAAGCACCCGGCCAGCTTGACGCGTTTTAGCTCCTGGGACGCACAGTACACAGGGGGACCGTGGACGATCATGACCCCGGGGTTCCAGGGAGGTTGCTGCACCGGAGAGTGGCTGAAATCACTGCCCTTGCTTCTCAGCCATGCTGTGTCCCCCAAGCTTCAGATCCAAATTCGGCGGGTGGATGGGTTTGTATCTGTTACCATGTCAAAGAGGGCTCTGAATGAATCAAGAAGAGCAAACCCAGGCTGTTTTGAGGAACATGGAGAGGGCAAGTGCCCTGATCTGACCACCTCGCTGGGAGCTATGCTGGAATGGATCCTAAGGACGGTGAAAGGCGCCTTATTCTGTTGGAGCGGGTCTGAGCCTATCCCATTAGCTGTGGGACAACCGCTGCATCCACATTTGTGTGGTCATGTGTGCACACACGTCTATGTATCTGTGTTTGCCTATGCGTGGATATCCACGGATGGGTGCAGTCGTGTGTCTGCAGGTGCACATGTGTGTATATTTCTGTGTTCAAATGCACGCGTGCGTACACGTGTCTGTGGGTACATACCTTGAAATACGTGGTCACTACTTATGCTAAACAAGCCGTTCCCTCTTGTCTCGAGCTGTGACACTCTGAGCCAGTTTCCCAGACCGGAAGCAGAGCTCTGTGTGGTTCGAAAGTGTGTCTCCCTCACCAACAGAAGCTGGTCCAATAAGATATCGCCTTCCCCACCTTGTCTCCGCACACATGGGTCCGTCAATGGGTGTGAACAGTCCTGTGTGGCCATGTCAATGCAGGCGCACATGGGGGTGAGGGTCTGCGTGTGAGCAGTGGTGTCTCTGTGTGTGTCAGTGTCTCTGCGTGGGTCTGTTTGCGTGGAGATTTGTGGGGGTAGAGGTGGATTTTTCTGCGCCAGCCTCAGTTCAGCACCATGGACAGAGCACTCTCCTTTCCCCTGGGAAGTCACAGCCAAGGTATGGCAGCCAGGAGAGGCTTGTGGAGTTCGCGACCCACCCCGGGAGCGGAAGCCTTTAATATCCAGGGCTAAGACAGCTCCAAAATGTGAAACACTGGGTCACACCACCCGCCACGCAACCTTAACTCCAGCCCAAGCAGCCGCAGGAGGGAGTGTGCCACACCACGGGCCAGCGAAACCCAGTCATCCAGGAGGGACAGAACCAGCTGCCCCTTCTCCCCATCAGGAGCTCGCAAGCCTCACAAACCCCGATGTGCAGTAGGTCGATATTCCTGCCCTCCCCTTATAACTGGGGAATCTGGGGCACCCAGAGGTGAATGGCTGAATGTATAGAGATGGGGAAACTGAGGCACGGAGAGGCGCTTGGCCTGATTTCTAGAGGTGCTGAGCACCCCAGACTCCCACTGACTTAAATGTGGCTGGCGATGAGCACCAGCAGCTCACAGGTGACATGCCCAAGGCCAGTGGCAGAGGCAGGAAAAAAGCCCAGGACTCCCGCCTGCCAGGTCCCTGTTCTAATGATTAACCCATGCTGCACAGTGGGTGGGACAAGCAAGCACGATCCCTGCATTTGTAATGCAGGGAACACAAAGGCAAAACGCCCGCCCCCCCGCAGATTGGTGGGCAGACGGGCCCAATGAAATCCCTTGCTCAGGGCTTCCCAGAGGCAAGGGGCAGCTCACCAAAGCACCCCACTTGGTGACCGCCACAGCAGTGTGGGAGTGCTGTGCCTGACATGAACCCAGCTGGGCTGACGTAGCCGCGGATTCCCCTGCAGGAGGGAAGGAGCAGGCCAGAGACCCCGGGGCAGGAAGCGGGCGGGGCTGGAAAGGGGCAGCCGCGGAAGAAACCAGAGACAGACTGCGGAGCAAGAGGCCTCCCCGGCTGCAGCCTCACCTCGAGGATCCCCTTGTTCTTCCCCTCTCGTTCCTCGGGCAGCAGATGCCCTGTCAGGAAGACGTAACACTCCAGGCAGACGCGGTTGGGCCGGTTCCTGTCGTACTGCAGCGGAGCTCTGTAATCGGAGCACCGGGCGCACACCACCTGCCCCCCGAGAGAGACCCTGATCAGGGGCAGGGAGGGGGCTGAGCCGGGCACCGTGGGGCCCTGAGGGACAGCACCCACCTCTTTCCCCACGCCACCAGTAAGCAGGCGATCCCCCAGCCCCTGGTGGGGGATCCCTGTGGGGAAGGGTTTTTCCTTCTCCTGGTGACCCTTAGCCGCCCCCACCCAACACCGAGGGGCTTTATTCTCCCTCCTCTGCCCCCTCCAAAGGGAAGTGTGTGACCCCTTCCTGTGCGGGGGGCGGGGAGTCGGACCCCTCGCTGGCCCCTCCAAAGGGCTGGGCCTACAAGGAGGCAGTGGGGTCACTCACGTAGCCACAGGCCCGGCAGTGGTGCCTCCTGCGCGTGATGGCGTTGAAAGGCTCCTTGCAGCGCATGCACATGGTCACCAGCTTGTCCCGCACCCACTGCGGGGCCCGTCGGCCCAGCTCCTCCGACTTGAACTGCGCGAGGGAAAGGAGAGAGCACGGCTCAGTCACCTCGGTGGAGCAGAGCCGGGACGCGCCGCGGGGGCTATGAAGGGGACTCTCTATTCAGGCGGCTGGACACAGGCAGGTCCTGTGGGTTTTTCTAGCTCCCAGCCTGTGCTGCCTAGTGTCACCGCACGGGGTCTCCCGAAATCCTGGCCCAGATTCAGCCATCATGAAAGGAACCTGATGACCATAATGCAACCTCTCTCCCCACTAGCCCACCCTTCCTCTGCCTCCAGCCGTTCTCTGCTACTACCCCGCGGGGCAGGGGGAAGCTTGCCCGTCCCCACAGGACTCTCCCCAGCTCTTCAGGGCTTCATGAGGGTAAAAGGATGCTTCGAGAGCCTTAGCCCAGAGCAGCTAGTAGCCACAGGACCGGGGCGGGGGGGGGAGCTTACAGCAAATTCCTGGACCTCCCCATCAGGCCCGTGAACTGCTGTCTTGAAGCTCTCGCTCTGCTTCTCTTTCTTGGCAATGGCGTCCTGGAAGGCCTGAGGAAGAAAGGGGGGTTAGGGCTGTCACAGCCCATCCCATCGGCAGCCCAATTCTGTGAGCAGCTGGACTCAGGCCAGTTCCCCATGGGAGTGCAAATACCACCTCCACTTTTGGCACCAACTGGCCCCCTTGGAGGCTGCCACAGCAAAGACCACGGATTGCAGGGGCCACGGGCACTACACCTGATTAAGTGGGGCTTGGCCAGAGAACCAACGCAGGAATGGCGGGGGATGGACTCCTCCCCCAGAGAGCAACACACCAGCGCAGAAAGCCACCACACACCCCCAAACCCACCCCTTTGCACTGCCACGGAGGAGACCAGCCTGGAGCACGGCCCCACAGCACCCCACGGATGCAGATCCCCGCACAGCCCCTCCGCCGCCTGCCCTACCCGTTGCAAGCTGGAGCCTGCACGCAAGGAACTCTTCCCACCTGCAGAGGCAGAGCACGGATTGGGACCCACAGGAGGCGAGTCTGTATCTCCATATTTAAAATCACATGACTCCCCCCCCCCACCAGGGACCAGGGGCTGCGGCGCACAGTCATACCTTTATCCAGGCATTCATCTCCTCCTGCGACCTGTGCCAAAGGGGAGACAGTGGTTAGAGCATGGCCCTGGGCTCCTCAGCTGGGGCTGGAGAAGGAGGGCCCCTCGCTCCCTTACCTGGCTTGCAGTTCCAGCGACCGCTGCTTCCCCGAGACCAGGAAGGAGTGAGGGAATTCCACATCCTTCAGTACCCGCACCTGGAATCCCGGGGTGGGACAGGGACATTAGAACTAGAGCCAGAGCCCACCGGCCCCGTGGAAGGTCCAGTCTGGGTCTCCCTCTCAGCTGTACAGACACCCGGTGGCTGCGAGGGCTCTAAGTGCGTATGGTCTATGCCATAGCTCTAAGTCCATGGATTCAGGGCCCAAGCACAGGTTGAACATGACCCTATGGACACTGCTGACTGTGGCTCCTAAGAACTCTCTTTGCCTGCTCTCTGGACGTAGCTCCAGGAACGCCTGCTCCGAGGGCTTGGCTACACTTACGAGTTACAGCGCAATAAAGGAGCCCCGGGCGCACTAGCTCACTCCCAGTCCACACTGGCAAGGCACGTAGAGCGCTCTGACTCCGCGGCTACAGCGCTGCTGGTACTCCACCTCGGCGAGAGGAATAACGTTTGCTGTGCCCCTTCTGGAGCGCCGCGGTGCCAGTGTGAACGAGGTGTTGCATTACTGCGCTCTGATCGGCCTCCGGAAACATCCCATAATCCCCTTAAGTCAAGTGGCCACTCTTGTCATTGTTTTGAACTCGCTGTAGGAATGCGGATATGCTGTTTGAAAGCTCCGTTTCTGACAGCCGGCTGCTTATCTGCTCTGAGACAAAGCAACCATTAGTGTGGAATGCTGTGTGTGAGAGAGAGAGGCGGGGGGGAAGGGGGGTCTGCTGCTGTCTGAACTTACAAGACAGCCTGCTGACATGCTCTCAGCCCCCCCAAAACCCACTCTCTCTCCCCCCACATACACACCACACACTCCCTGTCACACTCCACCTCCCTCCCCATTTGCAGTCACTTGCATGCTGGGATAGCTGCCCATAATGCACTGCTCCCAATGCCGCTGCAAGTGCCGCAAATGTGGCCACACCAGTGCGCTTGAAGCTGTCAGTGTGGACGGACTGCAGCGCTTTCCCTACTGCGCTCTACGAAGGCTGGTTTAACTCAAAGTGCTCTACATCTGCAAGTATAGCCATGCCCTGAGTCTGCAGGGAGCTGCTGTATGCCATAACAGCGCAGGCTTTGATCTTAGATACCGGGAGCTAAGCAGGGTCACACCTGGCAGTATTTGCACGAGGGACGTGAAAGGGAAAAGAAAAACACCCCAAGTCCTCCAGAAAGTAGAGTGGGCAATGCAGCAGGAGGCGCTCTTCCCTCTGTGTCAGCAGTGCATGTCATGCTACTGGGGAGGTGCTCGTTCAGGTGAGGTGGAAATTCAAGGCCCTGGTCGCTTGGGAATGTTTTCCCAAGCGTTAGACCAGCTGCCCTGGCCAAATCACATTCTGCTTCCCTCAACCCCTTCCTATAGTTTCCACTGGACACAGAGTTGTTCTTCACTTCCTGTCATACAGTGTTGCTGCGCCCTATTAAACAGCAGCCATGTTCTGCCCCAGAGGTGGCTGCCTTTCAGTGGTGCTCTGGCGGGGGGGAAAGCTGCTCCCTGTATAAATGTAGGCGATAATAACGTGTAAGGGTTGTCTGACCTTCATGCCCTCCACGTCGATCCGCCAGCGCACCTGGAACTCCGCCCCCACCTGGATGACCTTTGGCACGCAGAACAGCAGCATGTTGTTGAACTGAGTGAGGAAGCAGATGTGAGCCGCTGGAGGGGACCACGCAGCAATGGTACACTGAGCACGGGCCGGGCAGGACCGGGCCACCATCCTCTGGCAGCGCCAGTCAGGATCTCCAGGCGCCCAGGGCAAATGTCCAACAAAACAGCGTTTGGCAGCACATGCTCTGGATCTACAGGTACCAATGCTTGGGGTGGGGTGGGGGGGTTCAAAGGAGCCTATGGAGTTAGGGGCCGAAATCCCAATGGAATTGGAATTGAGTGCTGAACTCACTTAGGGTCCTTCAAAAATAATCAGCTCAAATGGCTCATCTGCCCTCCTCCCCCCAACATCCCCCCACACTCCCCCCAAAGACGAGGGATTTCCAAAGCACTGTCTGAGCAACCGAAGGGTTCACTGGTGTGGGGGATCAGAGGCTTTGGAAGCAAAGGGCCCGGACCTCCATGCTTTGCCCCTTATGGTACCATTTACACCTAGGCACGGTGGGTGTCCAACACTCCCAGATCTGTACAGTCCATGCACCCGGGCTGCCCTGGACGCTGGGACCAAAGCAGCGGGGACATCAGGCTCACAGTCTCCAGCCCGGCCAAGCCTGCGAGCGGTCAGGGTTCTCTGTTCTCTCTCTCCCCTCAACCCTGTCCTCTTCCATCGATCCTCCGCCCAGAAACGGCCTTCCGCTTCGTAGCGCTGCTGACCCTCTCCTTTCCTTCCCTGCCCTCCCACCCCGCCTCGGCCTCCTACCAGGAAGAGATACTTCTCCGACGTGGTGTTGTTGCGGAAGGAGATTTTCTGAATGGGGCCCTCCTTAATGAGCTCGTTGGAAGGATCGACGATATCATCTTCCAGCCCCAGCCTTCGATACACCTCCCAGAGGTTCTGCAAACGCTCCTGGGGAGCCAAGAAAACAGAGGGGGGTGAGGGAGGAAAAACACCAGGGGGGCTGATGCTGCAAGGTGCTGAGCACCCTCAGCAGCCACTGACCTTGGGCTCCATCCTAGAGGTGCTGAGTGCCACGACTTCCTTTGTTTGTCCTAGGAGTCGGCAGTGCTCAGCCCTGTGCAGGAGGCACTGAGAACTCGGCAGGATTGGGCCATTGGAGAAGAGGAGGAAAAGGATCCGGTGATGGGGAGAGGGAGAAAAAACACCCCAAATCTACCACCTTGGCATTCAACGTCTCCTCCCCTCGCAAGAGGGTCTCTAAGGAAGAGGTCGGACACCCCAGAACCAGGGCAGGTTGGGTTTCTCCTTCACTTCGGCCAGGGAACTACAGCCCACCCCTGATCTGGCAAGGCAGGATGTCTCCTTCCTCTTCTGGCCACATGGAGCTGGCTACTCACTCCAGACGGATGGGATGGGTTGGAACTTGCTGGACCAGCACATCTGTTTCAGAGCCCAGCACAAGCAGTTTCTCTTTCCCTAGGCACAGGCGGCTCGTGCCTACCTCAGAACGCAGGGGTTCCATGTCTTAGCACACGGCCTGCACAGGCTGGGCTGGGACTGATTTCTCCTTAACCCGTTCTGAGAGCAGCTTCCAATACTGTCTACACAGAAATCTGGGGCCAGATCCTCAGCTGGTGTATATCGACCTAGCTCCACTGAATTACACCATCTGAGGGCCGGAGAATACAAGGATGCCCCAGATGCAGGCTAATGAGCCTTGCAATGTGGCTACCCACCCACTCCCTATCACTGCAGCGTAAAGGCTCATCCGCTGCCGGTTTTCTGAGCCACAACCAACCGCTATTCACCTACGGGCAGAGACAAGTGTTTGCAGTGTTGCTGCAGTGGTGCTGGTCCCAGGACATTAGAGAGACAAGGTCTTGCGACCTGAAGAAGAGCTCTAGGTAAGCTTGAAAGCGTGTCCCTCTCAGCAACAGAAGCGGGTCCAATCAAAGATACCATCTCACCCGCCTTGTCTCTCAGAGACCAGTGTGACATTTGCATACCAACTGGGAACAGCAAGAGGGCTGCTGGGAAATAATAGACTTCAAGGCCAGACAGAATCATTCTGGTCTAATCTGATCTCCTGCATAGCACAGGCCAGAGAACATCATCCAGTGATTTCTGCACTGAGCCCGGCACTTCCATCGTAACACTTTGCACTTCCCTGTTGCCTTCCATCCGAGGATCTCAAAGCACTTTAACCACCATTAATGAATCAAACCTCACAACCTCAGGAGACGCAGACGCAGTTAAGGGATCATCACCTTCTTTGACATATAAAGAAACTGAGGCACACAGAGGTGGAGCGAGGTCACACAGCAGGTCACAAATAGAATCTCTCTCTCCTGACCCCGGTTCTGCTTTAACCGCTACACCATGTATTCCCCGATTGCCTGCCTGGCCTCCTGGGACACTAGCTTGGGACACAGAGGATCAGGACAATTCCATGCTCTGCCACAGACTCACTGTGTGACCTTGGGCAAATCCATTAGTCTCTCTGTGCCTCGATTACCTATCTATACAATAGGGATAACAGCCCTGCCCTGCCTCCCAGAGGGGTCGTGAGGCGAATGATCGGGAGGTGCTCAGATATTGCAGTGATGGAGGGCAGCAGCCCTGTACCCATGAGACCCTCCCTGTTCCAGCACAGGTGCTTGGGAATGGAATATGGTCAGGGCGCTCTCTGTTACATATATATACAGCGTCTAGCACAGTGGGGTCCTGGCCTCTGGCTGGGGGGAAACCAGGAGCTAGCACGATACAAATCATAATTAAGAGCAGCGTGAGGGCTGGTACTCACCATTTCTGCAATGGCCGCGTTTGAGTGTTTGGCTGCAGAGAAAATCATTTCCAGGGCTTCTGCAATGAGACCAGAAGAGAAACAAAGGCTTAGAATCCCCAAAGTACAGTGCAGAGGCGAAGAGTGCAGAGGCGAATCATAGAATATCAGGGTTGGAAGAGACCTCAGGAGGTCATCTAGTCCAACCCCCTGCTCAAAGTAGGACCAATCCCTAACTAAATCATCCCAGACAGGGCATTGTCAAGCCAGGCCTTAAAAACCTCTAAGGATGGAGATTCCACCATCTCCCCAGGGAACCCCTTCCAGTGCTTCACCACCCTCCTAGTGAAATAGTGTTTCCTAATATCCAACCTAGACCTCCCCCACTGCATCTTGAGACTATTACTCCTTGTTCTGTCATCTGCCACCACTGAGAACAGCCAAGCTCCATCCTCTTTGGAACCCCCCTTCAGGTAGTTGAAGGCTGCTATCAAATCCCCCCTCATTCTTCTCTTCTGCAGACTAAATAACCCCAGTTCCCTCAGCCTCTCCTCGTTGTTGTCAGTAGCTACCGGTGTGGTGCTCTGCTCTTGTTCGATGATGATAACAGTCGGCTGCGTGCGTGTTCCCTCTGTGTGCTGCCCCAGTTCTGCGCAGATAGCTGACACCGCAGACCCCAAGAGAACCCCCAAAGACCACAGACTCTAGTAAGGTATGAAGGCACCCGGCCAGGTTTATTGTCAAACGAAGCACAGTAACAGTTTCCTATATACTCTACAGAACGTACTACGAATATGTGCCCTCTGGCAATGGACACAGCTCAGTCAGTGGTGGGACACTCCACTGCCCCCTAGGCTGGACGACAATGTGCACTTCCAGACCTATTCTTATAAAGGTGCAGAACAGATTACTCATCCCTCCTGATGTATTGAGGTGCGGCCCCTTTACTCATTAGGGTGCTGCTTCTCCCGTTACATGTTGGTTCAAACAAATCTATCCATCATGTTGTCCTTTTGACCCTGTCTTTAAGATGCACCTGCCTGTTCCTAGTTATCTCTGTGGAGTGTTCTGATGCCATCTTGGCACAAGTTCCTCTTATTAGCACTTATGTGTGGATGCACCTTCTTCTAGCAACCCTCTTCTTGCCAACTTCTGTGAGTGGGGCCTGCCTCTGGCTCACAGCCCAGCTTTTGCTTAGCAAGGCCTGGAAGTACTTTGGTTCAGGCTTCAGGCCTCAGACTGGGCCTCTAACACAAGAGTTTATGTTTCAGGGCCTCATCTTACTACACTCGTAAGTCATGTGCCCCAGCCCCCTAATCATTTTCGTTGCCCTCCGCTGGACTCTCTCCAATTTGTCCACATCCCTCCTGTAGTGCGGGGACCAAAACTGGACACAGTGCTCCAGATGTGGCCTCACCAGTGCCCAATAGAGGGGAATAATCACTTCCCTCAATCTGCTGGCAACGCTCCTACTAATGCAGCCCAATTCTGCTGAGAATGTGGGTGTCTCACCACTGCCCTCTACTGGATGGAATCAGAACTGCTCAACTTTGTGGAGTGGTCGGGGTGTGCTGCACAGCGAAGTCCTGGGAGGCCACAGATTGGTAATATGAATACTTCTGCCTCCAGGGCCATCAGGGATTGCTAAGGGGAACACAGCTTTTCTTATCCTGCTGACGGCCCCTCTGCTCCAGCTGAAGTGGGAACCGCAGAGGCTCAGAACAATCTGACAATCAGATGCAAGGTGTCTCAAACCAGGCACCAAAAATCACAGCATCTTGCACATGCGGGCCTCAGCTCTCTAGCAACAGCCCTTCCACACCCTGAAGAAGACAGGCTGGAGTCAACACGCTCAATCGACGCTACTGAAGACAACGTTGATCACTTGGGTGATCTGACTTTAAGGAGCTAAACGCTGGTCCCTGGCACTAGATGTCAGCTAGGGGGGTCCAGGAAGCAGGTTACACCTGCCGTCTGATTCTCCGTGTTCTTGCTACCAAATGGGCCAAGGAGAACATCACAAGACTTTTGGAATTGTGGTTAGCAGCGCCAGTTCTAGGGCATCGTAACTAGTGAACCCCTGGTCTGAGTCACTTCAGGTCTTCCAGAGACGTCCGCTGGCGGGACTGTAGTTGTTCTGCTCCTTTATCTGAGGCTCTCAAAGTGCCTCGCAAAGGGGTATAAATGTCACTACCCGCATTGTGGAGAGGGGCACTTGCAGGGCTGCCACTAGATCCCATGTCTCCTGACTCCCAGCCCCACAACTGGCCCATGCCCCCAGGGTGAGCTCTTACTCTCTGCATCATGCCGGTCTGGTGACTCTGGAGGTAATTTCCGGACATAATCCTTCAGCAGGAGTTCATAGCGTGGGATCCTTTGTACCGGCTCCAGCATGTGGTGCTGCAGGGTCAAGTTAGCACAGACTTCCCTCTTCTGGAAAGGGACAGCAGAGAACCGAAATTAGAGGGAGAGACACACCCACACAGTGGAAGTGCGGGCTCCCCGCACACACCCCGACCCGCCTCAGCCCGGCTGGAGGAGTCAGTTTGGGTGAAGGGGCTCCACCAGGAAACATGCTGAGCATCAAAGCCAAGGAGGCCAGGTGGTTCTGAGCCTCTTTCCAGATCTAGTGGAGCGTCACCTGAATGTCCACAATGAGCTCCTGGAAGGGGGGGGACTTCTCCCACCAGGTGGTGATCAGCTCAACCGCCTTATCGAAGTTCTTCACGTACTCTCCGTACATCTTGAGGAACGGGGCTAGCTTCTGGATGACATCCCCGATCCTGGGATTGGAGCTCCTGCCGGCAGAACCCGGGAGATCAGCACCCCTGCCAGGTCAGTGGAACGGGCCGCAGAAGCTGCCCAGAGAAACTGAATCGGCTCTTCACCTGCCACTGACTTAGCAAGAGGCCGGGGAAGGGATGGGGGCTGAATGGCTCAGGGGAGGGGTTGCATTAAGAGTCATTACACATTTCAGACAGCGTTTCAATGGATCTTCAGCTCTCATCCCTCTGTGTCAGACCCAACAGGGATCCTGCAAGCACCCTACGAGGTTCTGGCTCTACCCAAGACTGAGGTAATGTGGCCTAGCGGGTAAAGCACAGGACTGAGACACAGGAGACCAGAGGTCAATTATTGACTCAGCCATTGGCCTGCCGGTGACCTTGGGTAAGCCACATCACCGCTCCGTGCCTCAGTTTCCCCATGTGTAAAAATGGGGGTAATGATACTGACACTCCTTTGTAAAGCGCTTTGAGCTCTATAAATGAGCTAGGTGTTTAATAATAACCATGATTATTAATCACTCTATCTAGCTGCTGAGTTATCAGTGTCTGGGGAGCTGGGAATTGGTAGTGGGAATCCACATCTGGATTGCTGGCCTTGGCTGGTAGTGAGTCATCGCTCAGTGTTATCATCTGACGACTATTCAGTGGCATCGGGGAGCTGAATTGGTGGCATCAGTTGGGTTTCTAGAGGGCAGGTGTCCATGGTACTAAAGTCCCATCACAACTGACCCTGGACAGGTCCTAAACTAGGCGTCATGAGATCTCCTAGGTCTGCCGTTGATCACTGTATGGTCTTGGGGAAGTCACTCCCCCTGTGCCTCAGTGTCTCCATCATCTTTGGTTGAAAGTCTCAGCAGAGAGGCCAAGGGTGAAAGGGTCATGGAGACTGAACACCCTTCTCGTGCCCAGGGTTGTATATACAGCGCAGGGTTGAGAGAGAGACAGTGTGTCTCTGTAAAAACAACAAGGAGTCTGGTGGCACCTTAAAGACTAACAGATTTATTTGGGCATAAGCTTTCGTGGGTAAAAACCTGTGTCTCTGTGTGTGTACATAAAGCTGACACTACTACTGTCCATGTTCGGGGAGATTTTGGCAGCCCTGGGGAAATAATCTGGCACTTCCTACAGCACTACAAAAAAATTAACCCACATCAGATTTGCTAACTGTGTATGGAGGCCAAAATGTCAAGCGGGCTTCAAGCACCTGCAAATGAAAATAATAATGGGCAGGAATCCGGTTCCCTTACTCACACTGAGTAGCACTTGACTCCATGAGTCAATGAAATAAGGTCACACTCAGCATGAAGAAGAGTATCAGCATCTGGCTCAAATTGTCTTGAGACAGTGCTTTCCAGCACACTGGCTTGCAGAGCAGATCGGGTAAACATTCAGGTTTGATTGTAAGCCCCAATTCACAAGTGCTCCCCTCCCGCCTTCATTCTAGGAATAGAACCCAGGCGTCCTGGCTCCCCCTAACTCACCAGTCCTCCATGCGTTTCTGCAGCTCTGGCAGGAAAAACAGGACGTGGAACTGGTAAATGGAGGAGATGTTGGAGAAGATCATTTTCACCACATCCTCCGGGATGCTCTTCCCGCTTCTGGCTTCCTTCATCAGCTCTGCAAAAAACACCTGGAAAGACACATTCCCAACCGTACAGTAATAGGAAGGGGCAGTGAGCGTTTCTGCTGCTCCTTAGCATCCTGAGTGGGGAGACTTCACTCCACTGAGGAAGGGAACTCAGAGGCTCCTTTAGAGATAAGCAAGCAGCCTGGGGACCATGTGGCTCCAGGTGGAATAGTGTCTAGGGTGGAAGGACACTCACAGCTGGTCCTAGATACAAAAGGGTTGGGAAGGGAGGAACGGACTGAGAGGTAATAGAATGTTCCAGGGAGAAATGCACGGATGCATCAGGGACTAATGGGGACAAAGGCACTTCCTGAAGGGCGATGCTATCAAAGGGGCATGGGGCTATCAGGGATACACTGCAGGGATGAATATAGGTCAGTGGCGTAGGCGTTTCTCTAACGAGCGAAGGAGCTGTGCTCCCTTAGGAGGTAATCAGATGAGCTGGCCTAGGAGCAGAGATGTCCTGGGGGCAAGTTAGCATGTTCCAGGGGTGACAGCGCTGAATGGTTTGGAGCAAAGGGGGCTATGTTTAGTTTTGAGAACAGAACACTGAGGGAGGAGGTCTGGTAACAGTCTTCAAATATGTGAAGGACTGTTGGAAAGAGGATGGGGATCAATTGTTCTCCATGTCCATTGAAGGTAAGACGAGAAGTAATGGGCTTCATCTGCAGCAAGGGAGATTTAGGTTGGATATTAGGAAAAACTTTCTAACTATATCAGGATAGTTACGCTCTGGAACAGGCTTCCAAGGGAGGTTGTGGAATCCCCATCGTTGGTGGTTTTTAAGAACAGGTTGGACAAACCCATCAGGGATGCTCTAGGTTTACTTGGTCCTATCTCAGTGCAGGGAGCAGGACTAGATGATCTCTCGAGGTCCCTTCTAGCCCTGCATTTCTGTGATCCTATCCCCATACACACC